AGAGGCCATTGTTGAGACTGCATCAGTGAAGTCCTCACCGAAGGCTGCAGTAAGGGTGCATAGAGGGCACTAGTGAGTACCCCTTTGGATGCCAAAATGAGAAATAGGACATCCTACTGCAGGCCCACAAGAGCTAAGCTTAAGCTAAGCTTAATACCTCATGTGCAGCAGGAATGTGGAGACAGCATGCAATGATGCAATCTCTGGTATCAACAACAATGACTGAGCACCTCACCCATTATTCTGGGCTTAGGCATATTGTCATTTTTGGAAAGGAATATGCAGTCATTTCAGTTACACGTCAGTGACATACATACAATGAATTCACTATTTAAAAATTTTCTTAATTCAATTAACACCGTTAGTGTAATGCAAATGTTATTTTACTGCCAATCTAACCATGAAGTGGCATATTCAAATACTTGACAAAAAAAGGAAGGAGAAAATTTGAATTTGATTTCTAATCTCATCTGACAGTCCTAGTCCCATTGAGGATGAATGGAAAGAATTAATACTCTTACTGTTTCAATAATAATACATGTTTGTCCTGCTTTGCAATAAAATTCTCTAGCTCTGAGTGCTTTTAATGCCACTGTAGGAAAACCACTGGATCTGTCTGTGTGTCTACTTAAGCTAGACATGGTGGGCGTTCCTGCTGGTGAGCCCACTTGGGCTGCCCCTTAACCTTTTGGAGATTATACTGAGGCTGTCACAGGGAGCTCCATGTGACTTGCCGGATGTTACATTTGGGCTGCTGATAGCCCATCTGGGAATCCAGCTTCTTTTGGAAAATGCTTGCATATTGCATTCTCCTGTTTCACATCTCCAGCCTAATATGTGCTTATTACATAGCATGTCGAAGTACAGGACCCAAACAACAGAATAAATAGAGGCTGCATTGTTTGAGACATGCTGTTGATTTCTCTTTAATTTCACACCTAGGTGACACAAGCCCTGACATCCAGGTGTTAGGCCTCATTCCAGGTCATGACGTTAAGTTTTAAGCCCTTACTTCATTGCAGTCTTTGTCAAAGGCTGCAGTGAGGCAGCATAGAGGGCAACAATGCGCACCCGTTGTCAGCCAGTCAGAAAGAAGTAACAAATTATGACCGATGAAATTGTTCCTCCTGCTCCTCTACATTTTTAGTAGTTGGAACAGGTATGGTGAACACACCCACAATCTGTAGCTTGCTTCACCATGGGTTGACAGTCAATGGCCTCAGATAATGTGATTAATTACATATATATTATATATATATATTATACATAGCCCTGTGATATAGCTATGGCTAACCTAGATGGCCAGGTTTGTCTGCATTAGCAGAACTAGCCAGCCTTATTAAAATAGACCTCTAGTTAACACACACATTTTCTAAGCCTCTTATCCTTCTGGGTCACGGTAGCCTAGCGGTCATTGGGCAGAAGGCAGGAACACTTCTCAATGCCTCCTTTCATTCCTTCAATCAGAGGGTACATCAATTCACACTACAACCAACTGCATTCATCACGATGAGCAATTCTATCCGACCCTTTCTCACCTGTCAGAAACTCTGTCAGAAACCCTTACCTGAAAAGACAACTTTCATCTGGTTCACTGGAGATTACTTTTTCTGTCTCCACCATATTGTGCCAGGACACTGTGATGTCAAATTTGTTGCCATCTGTGGATACTGCAGCTTTGATTGTCTGAAGAAGATCAGCAAGGTTAATATACACATACCAATAACATAAAGAGATCCATACATTATAAAATTCCATCTTAGTACACAAGCTATGGAACTTTACAAATATACCTCTCAGTTTCACTGTCTATTGGTTTAGAATCTTCTTCTATGCTGAAATATGTTTCACCCTGCTGTTACATACATTTGTAGGAATATTACATTAAATGGCAAGGTTTTTCAATTCTAGTCCTGGAAGGTCAGAGTCCAGTACAGATTGGTTATTTTCCTGATTAGATATACCTGGTTAAACTAATCTGTTTATTGCCAGGTTTAGTGGATGTGTTTGACCAGAGAAATTACCACACAATGCTAGACATTGGTTCTCCAGGGCTGGAATTGAAGAATCCTGTACAAAATATTATAAATGAGAGTTATTAAAAGGATTTTCAAACACACTTTTTTATTTTGTCACCTTTCACCAAACAAGCTTGAATGAATTTCTAAATACTCTAAAACAGACTTTAAATGGCACAGTAGACATGGAAACCTGAAAAGAAGACACTGATATTATCACCAGTAAAAGACAGGAAATGCACTACTTATATATTCAGGTAAATTAATATTCAGCGAAATTCAGTGACTGTTATCTTTACAGGGTAGGACTGATCTTACTAACAGCATTATTTCTAATTTGATCTTACTTTTGTGCTGTATGTACTGGCTGTGCTACTACTGTATGTACTACAACTGGCTGCTGTTGTGGGGAACTCAGCAAAAATGGGGACACCTGGGGATTAATAAAATCACACATAATAGATGTTAATCATTGTAAAAGATTGCTGTTATGGGGTGGGTAAGACTGATCTTCTTAAGACTGATGTTTTACTTTATAGCTGGATGGATAGATACAATTGGCTGTACATGTTGCAGGCACCAAATTCAAAATGGGCATATATTTTTCAAAAAACAATAAAATTTCACTTTTCTAACATTTGACGTGTTGTCTTTGTACTATTTTCAGATGAAAACAGGGTTTAAATGGTTTGCACATTGTTGCATTCTGTTTTTATTTACATTTTGCACAGTTTCCCAACGAGGTTGTAAGACACTTCATGGATGTCTATTTAGGTGTGAACGTGTGCTATACCTGTTTCTGCGGTCCCTTTCTTTAGTTAATGATGGGATAATCTGCCTAATGTATAAACGAGAAAGAGGATAGCCATGTCTCAAAACCGAGGATGCAGTTGTTAAAGGCTGCATTTCTCAGCTGTTATGCCAATTAAGGCTCTCCCATTTTTAGGGTCACGTTTTTCTGATTACATCAGTAAGCCATGATTTGTGGGTGTAGACGATTGAGGCCGTTTTAAAATGTGCGACCACTGATGAGGAGCCTCTGTATACCAGTGCTTGTCAGGTCTCTTCTTTGGCTGCGTCCTTCACTTTGAGACATGATAAGGCAAGACTTATGTTAAGGCAAGGGGGTGAGCGCTAACCATTCTACTTCATTTAGAACACCTGATTCAACTCATCAGCTAATTACGAAAGGACTTCCCAATTTACAGTGAGAGTGGTACAAGAGGGGAAAATGCTAATCTCATCAGGGTTGTTTTGGCCCTCTAGTACTTGAATTTGACTTTCCTGTGTTAAGGACTCTTACCATCTTTGAAGCTCCTCATCTGAGAGCGAGGTGTGACATAGCCACAGTTTAGTGATAGCCAAAGTTTTTGGTATCAGCTTTATGGTTGGCTTTTATTACCAATGAATTTGCTGAAAACAATCCAGAGATGCACTAGGTGCAACAGCAAGTTAGTTATCAGAAAGGGCAAAAGCAGACTGTCCTTTTAGCTGAGTGTCGGTCTCTTTTTGTCTGACTTATGAGAGTGCCTGTTTATTTGTTTCCTTTTGTCTTTTTCATGCAGTTTACTAGGATTTATCAACTTGTCATTACAGGCTTTTAGCTATTTTTGCTAGCTTGCTTGACTTGTCATTTTAGGTACAGTAAAAAGAGTGTAAGCTGTGACTCTGTATGAAAACGAACAGCATTATTTCATTAAAATGAAAAGGTTTCTCATTACATAAGATACTGGATGCCTTATAATTAAGATGTCCTATCATATCTCAAACACTTAAAGGGAAATTCCAACAATGTTTCAAACATTTCTGTACAAAAAAATGGTTAAGATATAAATAAAGTGATCCAGAATGATTTAATTTGGAATGCACTATTCTAGAAAAACATATGGAGTCAGAACTATTCAAAGTGGTGGTGAAAGTCACCAGATGTCCAAAGCATTTAATGACTCTAAAAGCTACATCACAAAGTAGACACTGTTGTACGATAGTTCTGAGATAAAGTTTTGGCCTAAAACATCATTTTCTATCCACATTAACAGCAAAGGTGTGCATGTATAGGGTGTTGTAAGGCAAACAAGTCCCCAAAGAAAAATTAAAGAAAAAGTGAAAAACATTTTTGGCCATTTTCATACATTTTAAATGTATTTCTAATCTTTTATCCTTGCCTCTTGTAAAAGCTTGCCAAGCAGAAAGTCTATGTTGTCATACTGAAGGCAGCGTGCTCCTTCTGCTGAAAAATGGCAAGGGCCTCCCAAAATTGTCCCAAAGTTTACCCAGATAAAAACTCCCAAAGTATGCCCTCTTTGTTTATTAGGAATGCCCTCCATGAGTGAAACTTCATGTGGAGTGAAGTAAGAGAGGAGGGGGATTGGTTTGGGGAAAATAGCAGGAACATGAGGAATACAGTTTGGTGATTTTCACTTCCTTAAGTGAAATAAACATAATAATAATAAACATAATAAACATAAGTTTATTGATTTGAGAAAAATTTCAATGTCATTTTCAAATCTGCACTAACTAATTCAAGTAATGGCTTCCAGCGATCAGGTGTAACAGTGAAAAGGCTCTGTAAACGTTTGTGGGGTTTAAAAACAGTTTTGTTCATCATGGCTTTTCCCAAGTGGACGTGACATGATGACGTCAGTGGAGACCGAATTGGGATTGGGCAAAAAACATACTTCTGAGAGGCAGCGCTGACGCATGCGCGTACGCAGCGTTGCCGTGGAAGAAGTTTCCAAGTGTTAAGGAGCAGATATACCGGCTGAAGAACGTAGTTTATCTATACATAACCAACAATTCAGTCATTCTCTTTGTTACATCCGCAACTTCGTGTGTTTTTGTGTTCTTCGAGCTGTAGTAATATTAATGTTTGTTCGTTCTCACAATGTATGTTAAGTATGGGCCGCCAGTAAACACTGGAAACAGCACGCTGAAACTTTCGTGGCGTCGCAGCAGGAGTGTAACGTTACAGGACCATCAGAGATGAATTTCGGAGTTCCAGCAAATTCACTGTTGTTGTTCCGTGCTTGCGACGAGGGCGACTATGAAAGCGCAAAGCGGATTCTTGAGCCTGCTGGGAATGAATCGGGGAGGCAGTCCAGAACACGTTTGGATTCCGTCTCGGAGTGTAATGTGGACTCCGTCCGGGGAGGACCACCTCTTGTGCCCGTAGATTGTACCGACGAAGAAGGCAACACGGCCTTACATTTTGCCTCCGCTAGTGGGCACGAACAGCTAGTCAGATTTTTACTCCGAAAAGGGGCGTCAGTGGATAGCAGGAATAACTATGGCTGGACACCGCTCATGCAAGCAGCGAGGTGAGGCATATATTTTCTCGGAGGTTAACTTTGTTAAAAGTTTATGTATGCTTATTTTATTATAACCGCGTCTAACAAGTTGTGTTTATATAGCTAGCATTTTTAATCCCCAGACTGCTTTCTTTCGTTACTAATAGTGCTTTGCGGACGTATTCGACCCCCCTTGAGAATGATCAACCGTTTCTGGGTTATATTTTTGAACTGTTTTAAACACTGCCTTCGAAGGCAAAATGTTATTCGTCTGCAGATATTGAAAAAATGAATACCTGAAATATGCTGTTTGCATAAGTATTCCAACCTACAGTATTGTTGTCACCTTTTGCTGCGCTAACAGCTACAAGTCTTTTCTCTATGTTCTAGCTTTGCACACTGGAACACACTGGGGTGATTTACTTCTCTCTATTCATGTTTTCAGATTGATTCATGTTGTGGTCTACAGTTTTCAAATAGTGGTACAAATCCTCACTGGCATTGACTGGTCCGTTGTTGGACTTTTGCCTTTGTTTTTTTAAGCTATTCCAGTATTGCTGCTGAAAGGTGAGCATTCTCCAAAGCTCCAGTTTCTTAGCACACCACCACTGCTGATTCTCCTGCAGTATTTCACTATATTTTTATTTGCTCATCCATTCTTCCCTCACTTTTAACAAGATGCCCTTTCCTTATTGATGAAAAGCATCCCCATAATTTCATAGTGTCACACTTCACTGTAGGGACGTGGCTGCGGTGGACCTCCTATTCGCCTCTCATTCAACTTTTCCGTTCCACCTTAAATGGTGCCGTTGCGCTTTATCAGTAGAAGTTCTGAGACAGAGAACCGGTAGAGAGGAGAATTATCACTTTGCAATTTCTACAGGTTTTCTCAAACGCTAGAGGGCGCTCCCGAGTGAGTCCAAAATGAATGGGTTGAGGTGGAGCATTTGAGCAAAATCATAGTTTATAAATGCTTAAACACTTTTAATGTAAAAGAATGCAGTCATTTCCTGAACACTGAATATCATAAAACATTTCAACACTGCTGTTATATTTTTAAGAGCTTTTAAACTCGAGTTAAAGGAGTTTAAAACGGCGCCTCATCTACGTCCATGACGTCTGTGAGCGCGAACAGCCAATGAGCTGCTCCGCTCGCCAATCAATCATCACGCTCTAGCAGTAATGCCCGCCTCCTGCTGCCCAAAACCCGTTTGCTGTGGAAAAAAGGAAACATGTAGGTGAGATTTCTTTGTTTTTTTAGTGAAATACATCCTTCTACTTTCTAAAATTAAAGAAACGTTCTGGGCAAGTGACTAGAAACTATTTTAACTTTTCGTTTTTAGCCGTTGAGCTCCGTTTACTCCCATTCATTTAGGACTCACTCGCGGGCGCCCTCTGCTGTTTAGCAGTCCTGTTTTTGATATAACGGGGGGAATAGGAAGTGGCCAGGCTCCTCATAAACCGGCTCTGGTTCTGAGAATGCAACGGCCGCACAATTTAAGGTGGAACGGAAAAAATAGAATAAGAAGCTAACTCCAGCTTTGTGCTGTAGGGATGTAAGGATGGTATTTCTTGAGGCACTAGCAATGTTAAGTGTTCGGAATGAAAGAAACCACTTGGTCTTGTTTTCCCACGTTTTAGACGGGTCGCTGTAATGTATGCTAAACGGTTCTTAAGCCATTCTGCATAAAGGATAAACTCTTAATAGTGTGGACAAGTGCAGTTGAGGTACTGTTGGCCTATCTACGGCTTCTCTCACAAGGGATACGTGTCCTTTTTAGTTACAAAATGGGGTAATTCAGTTCCTTGAATACTGATAAATTGGTGCTCACTGTGATTCCCAAAATATTAGACTTTATTTTGTATCCTCTTCCAAATTTTTGCATTTAATTGATAGAATGTATAACTTCATGTTCCTTTGGGTTCACAGCTTGCCCAATGGTCCTTAAACTGATTTTATTCCTAGAAAATGTGGCAGTTGCTGTAATGTTTCACAGATAGAACCCAAATATGTCCAAATAAGATCAATATAAAGCAAGAAAAAAGAAATGGCTGAAATTGTGACTTACATTAATGTTTCCCTTTTTCTTTTATTAGAGCATTCAACATTATAAATAGCCTCATGCCTTCACATTAGCGACAAGCTAACATGGTTGTCATGATACAACGATGCAACACACAACTTGATACAATACAATGCATTATTTTATTACATCCCAAGTATGTAAGCTTCATTTGTAATTCAGAAAATGTTAACTTTCTAGGGAGTTGAATAGATGCGTGTTTGATTTTTACACTTAGTTGATTACAGTGTTAATGTTATTTAGAGGTGTAACGATTCTCCAAATCCACAGTTTGGTAGTTTCTTATGTGTTTCATTTGTTTTGGAGAGTGGGGACAAATAAGAAATTAAAACCATAATTAAAACAGCAAAAGTAAACCTGAAGTACAACCCCATTTACAAAAAAGTTGGGACGCTGTGCAAAATGTGAATAAAAACAAAGTGCAATTATGTGTGTAAATCATTTAAACCCTATATTTAATTGAAAATGGTACAAAGACAACATCAACTGTTGAAACTGTGTTGAAATTGTGTTGTGTGTGTGTTTTAATATATGCCCATTTTGAATTTGATGCCAACAACACACTCCAAAAATTTGGGATGGGGCAACAAGAGACTGGTAAAGTATTGTAATGCAAAATTGGCAACAGGTCAGTAACATGATTGGGTCTAAAAAAGCATCCCAGAGAGGTGGAGTCCTTCAGAGGTCAAGATGAGGAGAGGTTCACCACTCAGTAAGAGTGTGTGGGCAAATAGTGCAACAATTCAAGAATAACATTTTCAATGTAAAATAGCAAAGAACTTTTGCTTTTCATCATCTACGTTACATAACATTAAAACACTCAGAGAATCTGGAGAAATCTCTGTATGCAAGGGACAAGGCCAAAAACCAGTTTTTGCTGCCCATGATCTTTGGGCCCTCAGGCGGCACTGCGTTAAAAACAGACATGATTCTCTAGTGGAAATCACTGCATGGACTCAGGAACACTTCTAAAAACCACTGTCTGTGAAAACAGTCACTGCATCCACAAATGCAAGTTAAAACTCTAAAATGCAAAGAAGAAACCATATATAAACAGGATCCAGAAACACTGCCGTCTTCTCTGGGCCCAAGCTCATTTAAAATTAACTGAGGGGAAGTGGAAAAGTGTCCTGTGGTCTGACGAATCAACATTTGAAATTATTTTTGGAAATCATGGACACTGTGTCCTCTGGGCTAGAGACCACCCAGCTTGTTATCAGTGCACAGTTCAAAAGCCAGTATTCATGATGGTATAGAGGTGCATTAGTGCACATGGCAATGGGTGATGTGCACATCTGTGAAGACACAATAAATAACATTCTGCATGTATTACTACAGCATTGCTCCATGTTAAAAGAGTCTGGGTGCTAAACTGGTCTGCCTGCAGTCCAGATCTGTCACCCATTGATAATATTTGGCACATTATGAAATGAAAAGTATGACAAAAGAGATCCTGTATCAAACAAGAATGGGAAAACATTTCACTTTCAAAACTACAGCAATTGGTCTCCTCAGCAGTTGGTCTCCTCAGTTCCCAAACGCTTACAGAGTGTGGTCTCCTTTGGTCTCCAATTGGTCTCCTCAGTTCCCAAACGCTTACAGAGTGCTGGTAAAAGAAGATGTGATGAAACACAGTAGTAAACATGCCCCTGTCCCAATGTCCAATGTTTTTTGGAACATGTTCTTGGCATTAAATTCAAAATGGGCATATATTTTTCAAAAAAACAATATTTGATATGTTGTCTTTGTAGTATTTTCCTCTAAAATATGGTTTACATGATTTGCATATCATTACATCCTATTTTTATTTACATTCTGTACAGCATCCCAACTTTTTTGGAAATGGGGTTGTAATTGTCATATCTCATTGGATACATTTACATGGTGCCTAACAAAATAAACAAGATTATTATTTATTGTACATAAATAATACATGATCAGAACCAACCGGTACCTGATAGTCCTGCTGTGTTTCATATTTTCTGACTGCCAGGGATGGTACGTACTAAGCGAATATTTCCCGTGCATATGCAGCCTTAGGCCAAGCGATGTATACTAAATGAGTCACCCTGTGCCCCCTGCACATTATGTCACCAAGGCTATATCATCCTGTGACTCACTACAAGCTACCTCTTTTCTTGCTATCAGATTGACAGTGCAGCCCTTCAGCACCGTTTTATAGTGTCAGAGCTTCTAAACTCTTTTAGTCCTCTAAAGGCTATTGCCTACAATTCCTCATCCTTCGGGTAAGTGTCTAGGGCTCCAGAACCCCTGGCTCCAGTGTTGGAATTGGAAGATCTTTGCACTACAGCAAGTTGGTGTGCTACAGCTACTATGCTGCTGGGAGTTTGTACTGGCCAGACAGCATGTATTCCCAGGGCTGCTGCACACAGTGCCCAGTCATACTGGACTCTTACGATGGCCATGACTTGTGACTTTTGTGCCTTGGGTTAGACTTTGTCCATGTGGTGCCAGGTAACCCATGTATAAACTGCACAGTCATTACTTTAGCTTGCTGCCTTGAGAGGTTAGCATGTCTGGAAGCTGGGAGCAAAGCTGCACTGCCAGAGCCACTGTGCTTTGTAAGGAAGGCGGCTCAGTGGCTTCTAGGTGGAGTGGAGAAGAAGCTTCTTAAGAAAAAATGGTCCAGTGTGTTAAGTAACAGCTTTCTGGGGCCTTGGCTCAGCTAAGAATCCTTTTCATAGAACTTATTAAACAAGCTTGGCGCCTAGTGTGAGCCACAGGCTAAACAAACTGACAAGAGCAAGTAATGATGAATAGTTTTGATAGTTTCAGGTAGCACCACTGCAATTCTTGTACAACTCTCTACGATGTGTGTGTGTGAACTGAGATTTTTGAGCCTAAATTACATCAAAAACAAGTACAGGGAGCGACAGAGGGCTGTGGACCATGCAAATGAGGCCTACCTTGGCTTTCCTGATGAAACTTCTCAGTCCTCATTTTATTAACCAGTCAGTCAGCCTGCAGTGTACACCGACAGGTCAGACCCCAGGAGATAGCTCTTATGTCCTGTCAGGGTGTTGAAGTGCAACAGCTCTGCTGTAAAGGTGCGGAAGACCTTTTTGGAAGCTAAATGGGGCTCTCCTCTCTCAAAGCAACATCTTTCACACTGGCTGATGGAGGCGATTGAGCTGGCCTACGCAGCTGCCAACTGTCCATTGTCCAAAACTGGCACTGGTCGCTCTATCAGTGGAGTTTCCACATTCTGGGCCACGTTGAAAGCGGTTCCTATCATTGACATCTATGCAGCAGCCACACAGTCTACGCCCTGCACTTTTTTTCAGTTCTATAATCTTGTCCTGTCCCTTGCCACGGGCTGTGTCTGATGCACTTCTCATGATGGAGTGGGCACAAGTCATCAAATCAGTAATACAGCTCCTGGCAGTCAGGAAATCCAAAACATAACGCTGGTTACAAAGGTAACTGTAGTTATGTGAGTAGTGGATGACCACCAGGGTTCCTGGTCACTTGGAGTGAGCGAGAAGTTTCAGGACTTTAACGAAGTTTCGAAGTGAGCCATGGAATGACATAGCCTTGGTGACATCACATGCAAACGTGCCATGGTGACTTATTTGGTATACGTCCCTCGGTGTAAAGCTGCATACGCAGGGAAATATCCACTCAGTAAGTACTGCTCCTGGAGGTCGTTCACTACTCACAACCACGTTACATTCATAACTAGCGTTTTGGATGGTAATCAGACTCACTTCCACACCACACTACCAGTGAAGATGTTGGGATTTTGTCATATATGGGGTTTATAATATAATGTCAGTGACCTATATTTCCTTTCAGTGGAGTGAAGTCAGTTCAGTTTTGATTCACTGAAGTGGATTAACTGTGTGTATTCCTCTGCAGGTTTGGACATCTAAACGTGGCTCACATCTTGCTGGAGAATGGAGCAGAGATCAATGGCAGGAATCGCATGGGTGCTAGCGTGCTCACAATGGCAGCCCGTGGAGGCCACACTCATGTGGCCAAACTCCTCCTTGAGAATGGAGCCTTTGTGGACGAATTTGACCACCTTTCTGCAGTTGAAGGAAATACTAACGGCAATAACAGTAACCACAGTGATAATGGGAAGAACTTCTTAGATATTACATCCTTATTGGTTAGTGCTCAGCATGGTCATGAGGCCATGGTGAGACTGCTTTTAGAGTGGGGTGCTGATGTGAACTTTTCTCAGAAGACGACGGGCTCAAGTGCGCTAATGCTGGCCACGTTGAACGGGAAGGCTAGCATAGCTCAGCAGCTAGTAGAGCGAGGTGCTGACCCTGACCATATCAATGTTTTGTCTAAAACGGCTTTTGAAGTGGCACTACAGCTTAAACATAAAGAGGTGAAAAGCTATCTTGACTCAATTACAACAGTTCGTCCACAACCAGGTAAGACCAACAGATGTGATATGTTCTAGAGCAGGCATGGGGTGCCTTTGTGCTTAACATAATCTTCTAGTGTCAAATCTGACATATTTTAGCCCTGTGCAGAATGTCCCCGACTTGACCAATGTAGTGTTTAGGTTAATGAAGATTACTAAACTAGTAGATTTGGTTTTTTTGATGTATTTTCAACTCTGTTAAAAAGTAGTTTGAATACAATGTTTATATGTTCTTATACTATACAAGGGGGATAAGGTTGCTTCTAGCCCATCTTACAGTCACTTAATTGTTGTGAAAAATTGACCATGTCTGGAAACTGTGGATCAGTAGAATAGACCCTTCTCACAGTTGCTGCATCGTCACACCTGGCTGTAAATAGTAAGGCAAGGAGGTTTTGTAAATAGCACTTTTTAAACACAAAGGCAGTTCAATTTTGCTTTACATAAATAAAATCAAAAGGAACATCAAAAGGAAAAATTCAGACAAACTGTTTGAGTGAAGATCAAAAAAGTAGCATTGTCAAATTTCTACCTCCACCGTTTAACAGAGCTGCACTGGAGATTCTCACTCAAATCTTCTTTTGGGCAAGTCTCGGTGCACCCAATAGAGTGGTTGACGCATCTGGTAGATCCCTTCAACATGTATGAAATGCTAGGATGGCTTGGCCAAAGCACATTGCGTAAAAGTTAAAAACAGTTAAACTTTGTATGACCATGCATGGTCTGCCTCAGTGTACTCAGTGCCTGCACTCGCCACTGAGCTGTGTGCAGCCAAAATCCATGTTTGTACTGCGAATCCCGTTGAAAATAAGGCGTTTAAAAGCAAATCTTTCAATTTTATGCATTCAGTGTGAAAGCAGCTGTGTTCAGATGGCGCAGTGTCTTCTGCAAAAACATCCGCATCAGAACTGCAAGGAATCCGCCCTAAGTTTTGCTGAGCAGAGCGGAGCGAAGTGTTAGGGGCAGGAAGCTAAAGGAAGATAAAGTTTTCCATCAAGTTTTAATTCTTCCTGTTCAGCCCATGTGAATGTTAGCAACGTTAGCAAGTTGAACAGCATAACCAGCGAAGAACCCCAACTTTGTATTTCTGCATTAAACTACTCACTAAGCTACTCAAGCAAACACATAACATTGTCACAACGTTCTCTACTTTCTTACAACATTGCTACAATGTTGTCAGAAGGTGGTGCTGTTTTGCATTGTCTGAACAAGGTTGTCACAATGTTGTCATTATTCATTAACGTTGCCATATGGTGTTATGACTACCTGTTTGGCAACTAAGCACAATCCCATGGAGTTCCATGCACAACATGTTGAAACCTGCGGTTTAAATCGGATAGTCTTTGATCGAAACTAGCAAGCTAGTGTTTTTTTTTGTTTTGTTTTTTTTTTTTTTTTTTTGTTTTGTTTTTTTTTATAAACCTCTGCATGTATTTTTTCCCTTCAGTTGACATGCTTGCTACTTAAAAATCAATTCTAATAACCTAATCGAGTACCCTAGTCTAATAACCGCCTTGCCTGATGAGCAACAGGCATCTGTAATATGTATACCATGTCGGCTAAATCTAATTTCATAGTTATAATGCGTATTGCATTGTGAAATTGCTTACCCAGCCCTAGTTACCAGGCTAATATGTATTTGGTCAGAGAATGCACCCTTGTGGGGAAAGTTCTAGATCACCAACATCCAATAGTATTTGCTAACCAGATAGCTTTAGATGTTTATCCCAAACAAAGCTAGCTAGCTAATGTTCGAGAAAATTGCCATTTGTGGATGTTTTTAAGGTGGTGTTTAAGTGATTACTGGGGGAAACAGTTATCCCTAATTTTTAAACGTATTACGGTCACTTTTTTCTGCCTGCTTTTATTTGGGCTTAAATGGGCTTCATAACTGATCATACGCTGAAAAAAAATTAACTGAATTAACATCTGGTGGTGAATTTCCTGTTAATATTATGGTTATGTCATCTTACTATGCTGGAACCTTTCTATTTTTTTTTGCATAGAAATTAAAGCACTTTAGCATTTCTTTTATAACCCTGGTAACTCATCAACATTTTTAATTATTATTTTTTCCTTTCTGTTCTTTAATCCTGAATAGATGCTGAAAAGAAAAGACCTGATGTTTTCAGTGCTTTAAAGCTAGGTGGGTAACACGGAGCACATGAGTAACATCTGAACAACGTTACATTAATGTAAATGTTGGTTAAATTATATAAATCCAAATACATTTTGGAGAAAAAAATGTCGGGATAAATATGATCAATTTGTATGTTTGTGTGTTATAGGAAATGCTCAGCTGGTGAAGGAGATATTAGAAGAGGATCCATCGCAGGTGAACATGGCTAATGCAGATGGAGCATCTCCTTTAATGATTGCAGCTGTGAGTGGACAGCTAGAGGTGGTGCAGCTGCTGGTGGAGAAGAATGCAGACATTGACAAACAGGATGGGGTCCATGGCTGGACAGCTCTTATGCAGGCCACATATCATGGGTAGGACACACACACAGTGTATACTCAGAAAGAAGAACAACAGATGATTTTGAGTCAAAGATAGATTGATTGATGTGTTGTGATGGTGCCTACATAGTATTAGCTAAATAATATAGCTACATTAATACTTTGTTGAACCCATAAAGAAAACTACATTGTTGGCGGTGCCGTGCTTAACGCCACTTCCCCAAAGCTTGGCATTGTGCGTTTTGATCTTAGGCTTGTGTGCAACTCCCTGGCCATTAAAACCTATTTGGTGAAGCTCCTAATGTGCAATTCTTTTGCTGATGTTGCTTCCAGAGACAATTTGGAATTCTTTAGTGAGTGATTCAACAGAGGGGAGGCACTGTGCGCTTTAACACTCGGCAGCCCCACTAAGATAAATTAAAATGAAAACTGAGCTTACTGGGCATGTCATGCTTTTGTTATGTCACTCTGGTGGACCTTTCATGTTGAACTTTGGCTTCATATTATTTGTCCTCAGAACTGAATTTTGTGGATAGTTTTGTGTTTTGTGGTGCTGCTGGCAATTAATATTTTCACTTTAGACTAGTGCCACAGACTCTGAACAGATAGGACATGTTGGTTTTAAACTTGAAACGGAGAAAAAACAGTTCTGTTAGTTGTTTATGAACACTTTTGTTATCCGTCATCAACTTTCCTTTTTTTTCTTCCCTACTCAGACCTGAAATAAGAAATAAAATGAAAAATCTGCAAAAATACCAGATATTTAGCCTTGTATTCTCTATTCTGATCAGCAGCCTTTAGCAAACCCATTTACATAATGAAGTGCATTGGATAAACTGCAACATAGAAATACTACAGAAACCACACTGGTTCATGCTCATTCATGTCGTTGAAATATGACTTTTTTCATTAATGAACTGTAGAGCATCTTGCTTAGCTATTTTTAGTGTATTAGAGTATCTTTATGATTTTCTTCCTTTAAGTGAAAAGAGAGGATAAACACATCAGGACTGTTTCTAAACGTCAGTGAATATATGCGTACATGTGAGCAGTTCTTTGTGTCTGCCGTTGTACGAGTTGCAATAATATAGTACATTAGTAATCACATAAATAAAAAATATGACTACAGTAAAATACATCCAGAGAAAATACAAGACATGAAAAATGGAGATCAGTGATATTACTGTACTACACATGTTTCAAGATACTCACATTTATATGTTATAAAGCTGATTGGAAATGGCTTCAGTGACTTTTTTCAGTGTTGTTTGTTATGTTGTGTTTGGAACAATGTATTTCTGAAATCTTTCCTCAGTTGCACAAGCATATCATAGAGGCAATGGTAGACATATCCTAAATGGTTAAAAATGGGCATATTGTTGTGCTAATTTGTAGCCATGCATGCTCCCTAAACATGTAACATGCAATTTAGTGATTTACGTGGCTATTAATGCATCCCAGTTCGAAATTTTAAACTGTCATTTCATGTAATTCAAGAAAATACACCATCAGTCTCAGTGTTGTTGTTTTAAATCAGTACAAAAAAATCAGTCTACCACTTGATTTCTGACTGGATTTTAAAATTCTTAAAGATGGAATTTACTGAAATTTAAGTGTACCTCTTTCTTTATTTTGTCTTTTGTCTGCAGGAATAAGGATGTCGTGAAATATCTGCTGAATCAGGGAGCTGATGTAAATCTAAGAGCCAAAAATGGATATACAGCCTTTGATCTTGTGATGCTATTAAATGACCCAGGTGAAACCCTCATACTACTGGTGAAGTAATAACTTTTTTTATCTGGGCACTGACTTGCAGTTTATGTAGCTCAATAGTTTAATTTCCCTGTTATATATTCATTTCAGACACTGAGCTGGTGAGGCTTTTGGCTTCTGTGTGTATGATGGTAGATAAAGACAAGAGTAAACACAGAGGCAAGACGCTGATCAAGAAGCGCCTGTCTGCCAATGTACCGGAACCACCAGATGATAAAGGTGGCCTGAAGGTGGGGCTCACACACTTGGTTCACACTGAAATGGCCCGTTTACAAAACATTTATGAATCCACTTTGACCTGTATTTGAACGAAAACAGTGCAAAGGCAAGATATTTACTGTTTTATCTTATCAACTTTGCTATTCGTAAATATACAGTCATTGTGAAATTGATGCCTGCAACACATTGCAAAAAAGGTATTTTTAAAGGTTTTCAGTCATGTCTGGTTATAAAAGGAGCATCCAGGAAAGACTTATTCCTTTATAAGTGAGGATGGGTTGAGGTTACTTTGGCAAAAATGCATCAGCAAAAATATCCAACGGTTTTAAAATAATGTTTCTCAGCCAGGGATTGCTAGAATTTAAAGTATTTCACTCTCTACAGTGCATAATATTCTGAAAAGATTTAGGGAATCTAGAGAAATCTCTGTGCATGAAAGACAAGCCCAAAAACTGCAAATGCATGCCTGTGACCTTTGACCCCTCAAATGGCACTGCATTAAAAACCAGCATTCTTCTGTGTTGGATATCACAGCATGATCTTCTAGGCAGCATCTTTTTCATGGACACCCATGCTTGTTTCAACATGACAACACCGAGCCACATTCTGCACGATACAACAGAATGCCTGCATGACCTGCATGAGTGCAGATGCTGGACTGGCCTGTCTGCAGTCCAAACCTGTCTCTCACTGAAAATGAGTATTGCATTGTAAAGCTCAAAATATGACAACAAAGGCCCCATACATTTGCGCAGCTGAACAAAATTGTGATTTAACACAGCGACGAACATGCTACTGTCTTTTTTTGGAAAGTGTTGCAGGCAGCAAATTCGGAATTAGCATATAATTTACCGAAATAAGACAAAATATCAAATATACTTTTGTACTGTTTTCAGTTTAATACAGAACTGTACCAACAGAATTTACTAATCACTGCTTTCCGTTTTTTAATTAGCATTTCACGTACTGTCCTGACTGTTTTGGAATTGTGTTTGTATTTCTGATAATGTTTTTGTACAGTACATGCATTTAACATTGGCGGTTATAAAATTAACGCTTAACATGTTGCTTTAGGATGTCCATAGGAAAGCATTTTTTATGTGAATGTATTTGTTTTATATAATTTTAAAAAGCTAAAAGATGAGCTTTCAACTCCCTCTCTTGTATATATTTTTGTAAATAAACATGTTGCCATAATTTTAAAATAAAATTCCAGCCCAGTCTGTCCCACACCTTCCAAGTGTAAATAAATCTGAATTTTAAAGCAAAATATGAAGCTGAACTTCATATTCATATGAAAAAAGACTCCGGGGGAAAAAACAGTTCTGTTCAAAATTGTTTCATGCAAATAAAGAAAAATACAGGAGCTGTTTTTTTTTGTTGTTCTTAAGTAAACAAACTTTAGACTTAAACATCTTCCTATTTTGGTTTGGTCCAGAGATGTAACTAATTTTTTCTTTCAGAAAGTAGCAAAAAATCCAAAATGACGAAAGCACCATGCATTTACTATTGTGCAAAGTGCAAAATAAGGATAATGAAATATAAAAGGAATATTTGATGAGAAATCAAATTTCCTTCATTTTCTGCTTATCCAAGTAGTTAATCAGCTAAGACAATGTCTGTAGAACTGTGTTGTGATCTGTGAGAATTTCCAGTATACGTTCCAGTGGCTGCCTGCATGGTGGTCAACCAAAGTGGCCTGGATCCTACCTTATTTACTTTATCATACCACGGAATTGCCTTGCTCCTTTGGTTCTCATGACACTGTTTACCCTATGCTTTTCTTTTTCTTTTGGTTCCCTGTTACCTCTCTAGTCCTGGTGGAACCGGATGTCAAATCGGTTTCGTAAGCTGAAGCTAACGCACACACTGAGGCATGGGCTCTCTCCCAATCGCTTAGCTCCTTTCCCTGATGACCAAGAGGTTCCACTGGATGCCACTATGAAGGCGGAGCGTAGGCCGGACTCAAACAGCTCTGATCCCAGTGGTACAGTGGCACCCTCTGCTGGAGCTGCTATCAATGACATCACCATTGCATGGACTGCTAAGAGCAAAGACAGTGGTATGATGATGATCATTAATCATGATACTCTTTATTGAAGTGATAAGATTTCAGATGGGCGGCGCTTACTTTTTCCACATGATTTAAGTTTTCAGTCTCAAGTGAGGCTTATTCGGACAAAATGAATTTAGTTTAATTCTGACATTGTAATCTGGAAGGGAAACCGTTGGCAGTGTATGTGTCATTTACTGAAGAGAACGCTAGATAAAAGTAAAAAAAAACATTATAACCAATATTAACTTCACAAATTCTTTCACATTTTACAAAAAAACATTTATGATGTATGATAGTCAATTGTAGTATTTTGCTTTTTTTTAAGGTCTTGGCAGAACCAGCAGTGAGAAAGATGACTTTGTGATTACCACAATGGTAAATATAGAATTCGTTGGAATTAGAGATGCAGTAATACCATGTTTTCTTTTTCCTGACACAATACTGAGACCTTTAGAATCAGTCACTCCAATACTGATCCAACATTTCTTGTTTAAAAGTTCCTAAGCTTTAAAATGAGTTATTTTTAACTGAAGCACTTCACTTTAGATGAGCATCTAAAAGAAAGCTAAGTAACATTGCTAATGAGTGAACGTGTGGTGTTTTCATTTTAAATTTGTTACAAGACTATTCTTCTAATACCTGATCCGGCATTTTCTGCTGATATTGGCCTGATACCGTTACCGTGAATGCATATATAATTATCTCTACACTTCCTCTTACTTTAGCTAAGAAATGGTGCACCTCTGACCCGCTTGCCCAATGACAAGCTTAAGGCAGTCATCCCACCCTTCCTACCGCCGTCCAACTTTGAGCCATGGAACTCCGACCGCTCACGGGTGATGAAAGAGGGGGGCAAGACCAGTGAGCAGCCTCGCCTGCCCATGCCTCAGAGACCCAGCAAAGCCAACTTCAGCAGCAGTGGAAACTCTGATATTGTAAGCATTCAGACAGGCTCTGTCTATGACGGTATTGAGATGTTTGACAAAGGCTCTTGTCAGTGAATCCATGGCAACAGCATAAAATTTTTAGTCTGTACTGTATTTCATTTAAACTGAACTGTATTTCATTGAAACAGTATGAGATTCATCTCGTATGAAATTCATAGTGATGTTTAGAAGTGATAATTATAAGCGAATAATCCTGGTTCAAAAAAAAAGCTTCCATTTATGGAAGCTCGGCTTTGTGTTGAGCTTAACAGCCCTTAATTGTGATAAAACCCACAGGAATGCTTGGCCTCTTGTGGCTTAAATCTTTGTCTTCCGCTGTTAGTGTTTACATGTATGAGCATGTGGTGTGTATTTGCTTGTATGTCTTTTCTAATTGTTTGAATGCTTTTTGCTGTTTTAGACATCCATAAGTCGAGTAGTGAGTAGATCCATGAAGTTTCCCAGCATCAGTAAAGTGCCATCTTCCTCCCCTTCCAACTCGGGAAATTATAACTCTCCTCACTCATCTGGGGGATCCAACGGAGTAGGAGGAGTCAACCGCCATGCATCAGACTCTCACAACCGCTCAGGTACTGTTTATAAACACGTGAACCACACCCTATGTTCAGTGCCCTACACAAATATTGGCACCCTGGTAAGGGTGAGCAAAAAGAACTGTAAAAACATGATTTTATTGCTTATCCTTTTGATCTTGCCAGAAAAAAGGCTCTGCTGTCAAGGACCAACAAACTATAGCGCATGCAGTTTTTGCCAGACATTACTGGAACTTTCAGTAGGGCTGTGTTCTATGGTCAGATGAGACCAAAATAGAGCTTTTTTTTTTTGGCGTAGACAGAAAGATAACAATGCAAATAAGTACGTCATCCAACACTTTACTTCACAGTGTGGATCTGTTATTTTATGGGGCTGGACAGCTTGTTTGGATATATGGTATCATGGACTCCATCAAGTACCAGCAGATATTAATGCAAAACCTGACTGCTGCATCATCCAGGAACCTTAAACTAGGCCGTTGTTGGATCTTCCAGCAGGAGGGTGATCCATAGCAGACTTCAAAATCAGTGAAAAAATCTTTACAGACCACAAAATCAAGGTTTTGCCAACCCATGGGCACCCCAGTCTCCTGACCTAAATCCCATAGAAAATGTGTTCGATGAGCTGAAAAGGAGTTTAAGTATTACATACACGCATGCGCACACATTGCCTCAGATTGACCTTTTATTTTCTGTCTTACATTTTCTGGATCAAACCCCCTGACTTCCCAGGAGGCAGTGCATCTGACAGTGTGCTGTCTCAAATTGCTGCCCAGAGGAAGAGGGCTGCAGGCCTGCTTGATGTTAAAGCTCCGGCTCCAGAGGCATCCAGCCCTGCTCCCACGCCCCTGCCAACAGTGCCTGATACTAGCCTCCCCAGCCTCCAGAGCAACCCCAGCCTGGTGGCTAGTGACTTCCACTCCAGACGGGTATGCTCCTGCTCAGGTTCAGGTCAAGGGGTCACCATGCATACACAGAATTAGTGCATAAACTGAAAAAAACGAGCAGTGCATTTCTACGTGCAGAGTCTGATTTGTGTTTTCTTTTGCATGAAAATGAATGTACATTTAGAACCACTACTAACCATGGTACACAAACTCCTAGTGGTAGAAAAATGTAGTCATGGGTAAATTTAGTGTCTACCATTTCAGATGAAATGATTGTCGACTGTGTTGTTTATATAGATGAAATGCAGGCAAATGACACAGATGACAGCTATGTAAGGTTTTAGCAAATGTAAGGTAAAAAGGCACATATAAACATTGTGATGATGCAGACAGTGGCTAACCTTACCTTGCTTGAAGCTCTGCCATAAGTGAGTTACTGGGAGCTTGTTGCTGGCAAGGCATTAAAGCTTTTTATCTACACTTTCTTGATATCAGAAATGTTATGTCAAGACATAATGTTATCGGTACTAGTAAATATGAAATTTGAAATGTAAATAATTTTTCTAAAATGTTAGTTTGACTTTTGTCAGTAGGAAATATGTTGCTGCATTTACAAATTTAGATAGAACTAGTAAAAATTTGTGCCTCCCAATTCATTTTCATGGTAGAAATAATTTAACAAAAAAAAAATCAGTTAAAAAATAATAATTATGACATGATAAAATGTTTATTACTTGTTCTAATTAAATTAGGGTTTGTAGATGGACATTGTTTACCATAGATGGGAACTTGTGGGCATCTCTGTATGTAAATAAATCTAAAGTAAAGCTTGGGTACGAGCAGAGCAGCATAGAATGTGTAGCACGTATCATTATTATGTCCAAGAATCTGAAAAAGCTTCTGTTATACATTTGCACCATATTGCAGAAAGTCAGGAAGGAACCTCATAGCACTGATGTTTCATTAAATAATGACAGAGTTTATGAATGATTATTGTTGTTATTATAACCCTTTTTTGTTAGATCATGCTATATTGTTACTTGCATATTATATATATTTCCGTCAAATGATTTACGATAAAGTAGACTATCTTAGCTTCAGCAAAAAGTTGCTTTTAAGCAGAGTGAAGTGCCTATTGTTCACTATTTAACCAATAAATCTCCCCCCAGAAGGTGGACCTAAAGAAGAGGCCGCAGTCTGGGAATTCTTCCACGTCCAAGAGCACATCCCCCACCCTGACCCCATCTCCCTCCCCGACCCCGAAACCTCCCACTGGGGACACGCTTTCTTCAGCATCCTCCCAGCCACGTTCCAAAAGTAGTGGTGGATCCAGCAGTGGCACCATTACTGATGAGGGTCAGTTTGAGGGAAATTAAGTGCTTGGGTTGTATAGACTAAATGGTGGTTTGTTATTTGTGTCATTATTCATTCATTATTTTCCTTCTGTAGTTTAATAAATATTTAAAAATGTTTTTACAGATGAGCTGTCAGGGATCCTGAGAAAACTTTCTCTGGAAAAATATCAGCCCATCTTTGAAGAACAGGAGGTATGAGTTTGATTGTCTGTAATGATAAACCTTGTCCACATCATTCAGTCTGCAGTCTGCAAGCGAGTGATTCAAATTGATTTTATGCTGAAGAAGCCAATAACTATGTCTGTGTTTGGCACAGGAACACAGTCCCAAGTCTGAGAATAAGCATGTGCAATACTGTTAACAGATACATTACACATCTGCATTTATTTATTACTTCTCTGTGACATTTACAGTTCATCTTGTAACTGCAGGTAGACATGGAGGCCTTTTTGACTCTGACTGATGGAGATCTGAAAGAGTTGGGGATTAAAACAGATGGACCCAGACAGCAGATCTTAGCAGCCATTTCTGAACTTAATGCTGGCAAGGTATCAATCCCCCTCCCTTTCCCTTTTCTCTTTTTCATTCTCTTCATAGCTGGTAACTCTGAAATCGTATACTGTTTTCCTTGTACAGTATTACATACTGTATAGATGTGTTTGTACCCAAAAAGTACACTAATTTGCCAGTTTATTAGTATTATTACACCCACCTGCTACCTACATGCAGTGGCCATTTTGTTAGGTTAGGAAAAAGGTAAAGGAAATGGTACAAAGTTTTGTTATGTTCCTTATAAACTGCCAACTCAATGTAGTGCATCCTGTTTTCAGTTTCTGTTGTTACAATGAACTATTTAATTTTAGGGGAGAGAGAGACAATTACTGCAGGAAACTATCCATAATTTCCAGTCTTCTTTTGGGAGCAGTGCCAGTAACCACCGACCGGCAGGCTGTTCACGTTGTGAGTGTACACAAACATCATCCTTCTGACATTTACTCTGTATTTGGAATGTTCATCTTCATGTATTCTTTGCTATTAGAGTTTATCTGGCAGTTTCCATAGACCTTTCCTTTCTGTTCATTTCCTAAGCTCCAACAGGTTGGGCCAGGCATCAACTTCACACCCCTAACAAGAGGTAACACCTAGCCAGATGAGGAATGCCAGAATGGAGTGTTCTCACAGTGCTGGTTTCAGAACTTTGAGTTCTGTCAGTGTTCCAGTTTTTATTCAAATTGTGAAAGGCAGTGCTGAAAAAGGAGCTACTGAAAGATCTAACTTTTCTGACAATGTACAACCAGACTACTTGCATTGTCCTATCCAGACCAACCACCAGAGGGCACTGAAGTGTCTCAGATGACCTGAACTGGCAAGCTTGGTTAAGCAGTCATGTCAGGGCTTCTAAAAATACATGCACGTCTTATTTGGGTCAAGAATGTGTGTTTTTTTCCCCCCTTTTCAGTGATTGAGCTGTTAGATGATGTGTCTAAGGCCAAATGAGGGAAAATGAAAGAGGTTTTTATGAATCATGCTTTTAGTTCATGTGAGCAGTCAGTAAGGTCATGATGAGGAGCACTGTCATGCAGTATTAGACTGTTTCATGGAGTTCATTTTGGTTATCTTTAAAATTTGTATGGTTCATGTTCAATGTCCAGTTAACATTTTTCAAGAAACTGGTGGTACTTACTGGGGATGATTATTGTTAGGCCATTCACAGTATATAAAGTTATAAACTAAAAGGTACAAATGATTACAAATTTTTGCCAATGTATGCCAAAACATATAAAACTTATAAATCTGCTTGTTTACAGTATAAATGAATACATATCGACACATGCTTTAGTATAGTGATACACTGCAGTATTTAAATTTTAAAGAAATTAGTGTTCTGCATCTATGTTTACTAGGATTTTTTGGAAAAATGCTTCATAGTAGATTTGGATATTAGTGTAAAAGCTGCACGATGAGCAGATCACAGACAAATCATTCATAGACTGCTGATGTTAACTTGTCAGAGGTGGATCATTCATCATATCTTCTGTTTTAATGTGCAGTTACTTTGTATTTTATATGTATCTCATAGTATCTCAGATTATTATGATTGTAAAGTGTATGATGTATTTATGAAGGCCGTGTAGTATAGTACATTGTAGTATTACAATGGACTACAATTTTACAGGATTACAATTTGTTTGTGTTGTCAAAAAAAAGTGTGCAGCACTTTATACCTGTCACAATATAAAGAAAATGCTTTAATTTGTTAAAAAAAAATGAGAAATAGAATGAAAATAAAAATGAAAAGACTTGCCATACATTTCTTTCCCCTAAAGATATTCGTGAAATTCTACCCCATATCACATGCAAGCAGTAGCCTGTTTTCTCTCTCGCTCTCTCTCACGCGCACACACACACACTCTGTCTGTCACTCACTCATGCACTCACGCACTTGCATCCCCTTTATGGTGCCTTGTCCCCTTTCTTGTTCATTATTAATTAGGCACTTCACTGAGAAACCTAAAAACATTTTGTGGCATGACATCTCCATCGTGATCAGTGTCAAAAAAGCAAAAGTGAGCATAAAAAAAGGGAATCATTACTCATGAGCTGTTGTCTTTCAGACAGCTGTCTGAAGTGTTTCTGCCAGAGCTCCATATCTCTGGCTCCTCTCCACTGCACATCATAACTAATGAAGACTGATGGAGGTGTTGTGTAGTGTTATGGAATGCTGTTCAGCTATGCCAGAAAATCCAATCTAAAGCCAGGACTTAATGGAAATATGATAGCGCTTTTACTGAGGTATGGGTGCGTTAGATTGCATACTGACTTCATCAGTTTCCATAATTGGAGAGTGCTGTTTGCGCCCCTATAAGATATATGAAAACTACATGCGTTTCTTTTCCTCACAGAGGCAAACCAAAAACATGGCACCACTGAATGCAAAGTCGTTTGAAGACGGTATTGAGCTCTTTAAAAGATGTGATTTAAAAGTGGATGTTAAAAATCTATACACCCTCATTGAATCGCAGGTTTTTACGATGTGAAGCCAGAAATGAAGAAGTTCAAGCTCCTTCAAATTGCCAGGTGATCTGTGCACAGCTCAATTTAGGTTATTTTACATGTTTTGTATGAGATTGAAGTTTGGACTTTGACTGGGTCATTGGGCCCAAGACACTGATTTTAGTTTCTAAAACCATTCCTTGGTTGACTTGGGTATATGATTTGGATCATTGTCATGATTTAATTTGGAAGGTGAAACTCCTTTTACAGAGGCCAGCAGTTTATATATATATATCTCAAATATCTTGATATTTGGAGCTACCCATCTATCTTGACTAACCCCTGTCCCAACTGAAAAGAAGTTTTTGATATGCTTTTAAATAATTTTCCTGATTTTAACCTTTTCAACATAAATATTCTGTAGACGGTGGGTAGCGCTGTCCCCTCACAGCAAGAAGGGCCTGGGTTTGATTCCCGGCTGGGTGACCAGGGTCCTTTCTGTGTGGAGTTTGCATGTTCTCCCTGTGTCTGCGTGGGTTTCCTCCCACTGTCCAAAGCCATGGTGTTGTAGATATTTTACTTGTACATATTTTTCCTAAAAAATATCTTTCCTTTTCTGTTTAATATTTGCGTTAGATTCTATTAAAGATGGAAAAAAACACACAAAATCCTGTAATTGTAATAAGGTGGTATAGACTTGTTCTACCCACTGTAGGAATACATATTGCGTGTTGCTTAATTTTCTTGCATTGAACTCATGAATGCACAGTAAGATATATTGACAGACAAAGACATAAATCCATTCAGTTTGACACCATCTTTGTTTTCGGACTTCGGTCAGAAATCAAGGTTACACAATTTTCCTGTTGCCCCAAATGTAATCAATCAATAAAAACATGTGCCTGAAGCTTGCTGCTTTAATTTTGGATCTACAAGGCTAATGTAGCGGACAAGTGGTCTCATTTGAATTTGCTTTATGTGGTTTCTGACACTGTTATTTATAACGGTGAATGTACAGGCAAAGCTTTTGCTTCAAGATGACTGTTACTACTGTTTTAGCTATTTGACACTTTTTTATTGATAACAGTATGTCGTACAATGACAAACCACAAAGTCTGCTTGTGATTTTGACATAATTTGAGGCAAGTGTGTGATAATTTAGGCATGCAGATAGCACAGTGCTACCTGGTGGCTATAAGCTTTCATTACCTTAGACTTATACCTCCAGTGCAAAACTAAGGAAGTAAACTTGGCACACCAAACGCGTCTTAGCTGATTGATTACATTTGGGTTAAGGGGGTCAAATTGGGCACATTTTTGACTCAAGCGTAGCTTTAAGGAGTTGAGTAAAATGCAGAAAAGTGTTCAGCAGATTTTCCAAGCTGCCGTTTAGTGTTTCAAACTGAGCTTAACAGCAGCTACTGTATTGCTCGTGAGTGCTGTCAGTCTGTGTCAAGCCTTGCTCTCCCAATCACACTAGCCAGAACTGAATCTCTTTTTGGCTCTTACTGAATAAAACAGTCATGCCACCTAACGCTATAACAGTAGCTGCTCAAATCTCATACACACAGGTTCTGTATGTTTATGCATAAGCTGCTTAACTAAATTCTGGATGGATATGCCATTGTAGCTTGCATAATGCTTTTCTCCTGCTTCAAACATGATTCACTACACAAAGATGTTCCTTGTTCTTGACCGGTGTGTGACGATGGAACACAGGAATCCAGGTTTGAAACCTTCACCAGAAAATTGATTACAACCCTTATATACTCTCTAAGTCTGAAATTTGGTTGGTCCCTGCCTGCCCCAGCCAACCAGAACTGGCTCTGTCTCGAGAGCGTTTTGCAGTATCCAGAATTGCTTTGGAACTGCAAACTACAAGTGTGAAACAATGGAATAACCTTGAAGGTGGACGAGGAGAAACTGAAACCGATGTTCTGTAATTTCTGTTTTCTGTTTACTTCCATTCTATTTATTGTAAAGCTTAAAATGCTTGTAAAAGTGCTTTCTACATACAGGTTAAATGAAACCAAGCACATGTGGGACTATGCAAGCCCCAGTGCTTTGGAAGTGAACATAGTTGTTTGCTGTAGACTTACATTTATTTGGGAAGTATTGAAAAGAGGGAAATCATGCTGAATAGGTTGGTAAGCAGAACTTAGTCATAATATCAGAGCTATGGGGGGAAAAAAACTGTTTCAAATACCCAAAACCACCAGAGTTCAGGATTGATTTACAGTTTGCCGAAGCATAATTACATCAAGGTTTCAAGGTTACACCACAAGATGTAAACATCTAACCATATAAAATATAACAATATTGACTTGTTTTTCACAAACTCAATACTTTCAGCTCTAATAAACATTGTAAAGCATTAAAAGTGCCTTAAACTGAACAATTTAAAAGAGTCCTGTATAAAATCAGAACGTAATTTCAGGCTTGCTTCATATGTTAACTCTTTGTAATGACAGGTTTTAGGGGAAGCTTTGTCATTTTTTTTCTAGTCCTGTTAATGTCAAAGCTGTATAAGTACTGTGGTGTGTGTTGCTATATCTGTTAGGAAGCGGTAACGGCAAGTCAGTGAAATCATTTAACAAAATCATGTGATTTGGCCTGATTGTATTGAGCGAGTGTGGTTCTGACTGGCTTCCTGCTTGGCTTTGTGTAGTATTTCATGCACTTGGACGACAGCCGACTGTGCTGGCAAACTGCCACGTAAAATAATCACTTAACCAACAAGACAGTAAAGTTACATCTTTTAACAACACTGTTCTGCCTAAGGTAAAGGTGTGTATGTGATTGTGTGTTTTGCATTTGAGAGAACATTAAATCCTTCCACATGCAAAACATACTAATATTGAAATCCCTCAATAATAATTTGAATCCTTCATAACTAATTCCAGACATTTAGACATTAGTCACATAAAATGTCTGCAATAATCATGTTTTAAGTGGCCAAAAAGAGATACAGTGCATACTCCATACTTAATGCCATTAAACAAGGAGCATCAACAATGCATTTTCAAAAGCAGTGAACATACTAAAGTGGTGAGAAATTCATTAGACGGAAACAAATTATGCAATATTTCATTTGTAGATACTGCAAACACCAAGTTGTATGAAAGTGATTACTTTGGCATAGGTGTTAATTAGTTTGAGTAAATAAATGTGTGTTTACTACAGAAAAAACCTTGACCTATGAACAAATAACGTCACTTTTTCACAGTTAATATCTGTATGATTGCAAAGATCATCAAATGAATCATTTAAGATAAAAAGTGCACCACATGTCTGCATAAGTCAAGTCTTACATTTCATGGATCTGGCTGAGTAATCTGAGCCTAGGAAGAAGGCAGGAAAATCCAGCACAACATGTTTCTGCTTCCGTTATTCACTTGAAAATATGCTTGATTACTTTATTCCATTGTAGTGTCACTACAGTTGCAGGTAATGATTGTCATCGTCTTGTCAATATCTTGCAACACTGTTGGTGTCTTTTCTAAAAATAAAATCTTGCTAACTTGACATATGAGAAAGTTAAAAATGTTTTTTTTCTGCTCTTATACTACTTTGGAGACAACAGCAAAGGTGCATAGGTATGTAGATTTACACTATATGCCCAAAAATATCTGAATGCGTCTTATAATTAGTGAATTTAGCTCATTTAAAGTGGACCCACTGCTGATGCAGGCATTCAATTGCACACACACAGCCTACTTTTGTGATTGTTAGTTTTGTTTATGTTTATTTTTTGTTTCTTTTCCTTTTCTGATAATGTCTCTAGAACTGTTAACACAGTTGTCTCTTAACTAGTATTACTGTCAGTCTTCCCTTTTCTACCTTATTTTAAAAAGGAAAAAATTGGTATAAGCATTGGTAATAAAATGGAGCATTCTGGAGCAGCCATACATGAGCCTGTGACAGGTGCTGCTTTTCACAGGCCCGTGATTTCTGATGTACCCAATCCAGCTCATGACGTGCTTGAAACAGGAGTAGAAAACACTGCAGGGTAGCTGAATCTCCGGAATTGACGTGAGGTAGTACTGGTTCCGAAAAACTGGTAACTCTGAATTTATATTATGCTGCATTCCATTGAAAGCTTTACATAAGCTCATCTAAAATGAACTGAAAGAAGTGGAAAGACATGCTTGCTGAGTGCATTTAATCGCTTGCGCTCTCTTGCTCCTTAAATCAGGATTATTTTGTATTTGTGCTCACAGGCTGCAGAGGGTCATGTGATGTTGGTGTCTGCTGCCTTTATGTAACAAGGAGGTCAAACTCTGAATTCTGACCCTTGCTGTATTTAATTATGGCACACAATAATGCAACAATATTTGCTGGATTTTATAGTAAGATTGTAAAGGAATAGTGTACACTGTTCACCCATCATATTGGCCATTCATTGAGCCTGACAGCTGGGAGTAATTTGATAAGATGTCTGTTTAAAGGACCATTCTCTAAACACTAGCCAGCTTGCGTGCAAAGGCTTGCCTCCCTGCTCCAACTGCCTGGGCTTATTGGTGCTTAAACCAGGGCTAATCTTCCAGATTCTATGGATAGGGCTGTGCTGGGATTTGGGCTTACACGCTCCCCCAGCTTCCTTGCTGCAATAGCAGTGAATTGAGTGTTGTCAGGCCTTTGCATCGGCCTGTCACAACATTGACATATCAGCTTCAGCTAACATGCTGGGTTAAGCTCACTGACCAGAAACAATTCAGGCCACTGGCTTGTTGTGGGTGCAGGGGGGGAGGGGTGAATGTTGAAAGAAAAGAATGCGTAAGAAGAAATTCAAAGTACTGTTTTAGGGAATTTTGGTAAGGTGTGATTACGAATAGCTTATGAAGCATCTAAAAGAAATGAGTTAATATACAGACAATGAGCAGTTTTGACGTTAAGGCGCATGCTCAACTGAGACGGTCATAACGTTTAATTATTAAGACGAACAACAGCCTTGGACAACCTCTTACAGGAGAACCCATAAAACGTACTGATGGTGATTTAAGAATAACAGAATAGTCATCTGCTAGAATTCATAGCAAAGCTTGGAATCAGTCAGAACTTTGAAGAACCAGGCTGTGAGGTCTTAATACTTTGTTCTCACAAACTGTGAAAAGATGACCAGCTCTTGTAGCGTCTTCTGAAACTCTCCTCAAACTCATACGGTAATAATACAGGTAGCTTAGCCTGTATTTCCGACGCAGCGGGCCTTGAGGAAAACGTTCCTTGCTTTTAGTCGCGCCTCAGAAAAAAAAGTGTCGAAAGAAAAGATAAGCTTTTGCAATCAATTTATTTTCATTTTCTTGGTTTATTGTAACCTCCCAAAACAATCACACATATAACCTAGGCTAATTTTCAGCAAAAGCCTGAGGTTATGTCGAACGTTTCGTGCACAGTCGACCTAATTTCAAGCACACCTCTAAGGAAAGGCAGTTAAACACTATGAATTGTTAATATATCGCCTACAGCACACTGCATGGATCAATGTGTGACCCTCACATCAACTTCTGACTGGACTTGGCTGGGAAAACCCACAAGCTGCTCGTCTTCGGCTAACGTCTGGCTAATTTCTGCCTCATAAATATTAGCCTGTAGCTGCTAGCCAGCCTCGCACGAACAGGAATACAACTAACCATGATATCGTCTTAATTATGAGTACGAAGCTATACATACGCCTATATTTTGAGTAGAATCTGATATTAGCTCTCCGCAGACGCACCGTCCATATGGGTCAAAACGACCATTTTCATTCCCGTTTATTTCCAAAGAGTGCTAAATTCCTCTTGTCCGTCCATTCGCTCTCATTCCCATATCCAGTTATGCGCCAGACGTCTTGGACAGCCGTGCGTTACTGCTTGAACATTTTGACTTCTGGAGAGATTTGTAGCAGACTGCTTTGTGTGTAATCCCTCCCCTAGCTCAGCCCCAGTGCGTGCCTGCGCGTGTGTGTGCGTTCTTGTGTGTGTGTGTGTGTGTGCGCGCGCACAGTTTGTGAGGCTCAGAGTTGCGTGCGAAGAGACCGGCTTGTCATTCAGAGGAATCCGCCACCTGAAACGCGAGGAAACGAAGGCGACGCAATTGGGTATAAAACATGAACCACATCTGCCTCGAGCTTTGCACACTGATGAAAGCCTCAGTTTAGGACAGCTCAGATCGGCACTGCTCAACCCGGCAGAATGATAAAACGTTAATTCAGCTCCGAGTAATAATAATTCTTCAGTTGCTTTGAATGACACGTCTTATATACTGGAACTAAGAAATACTGGTGGAGTGTCCTGGTAAGTGTTTTTATTTATTCATTTATTTTTCTTATTTTATTGAATTATTTTATGTACTTTTTGTCACAAAGGCTGTAAATGTTAATATATATTTTGAAAAAAAAAATCATCATCACGCGCTGTTCATTATCAGGATATTTCGGCCATTGGCTGCTGAGTGTAAACATGTCTTGATTCAGTGGTGACTTAACATTTGGAGCAAATTAGAACACGCACGTTACGCACACTCACAGGCAACTTAAATATGTAGCCTATGCAAGTTATTAAACAGACTGACCAGTGGTACTGATGTTGCACAGCTTCAGGGTCATCCACTTTCTATATGTTTAGCAAACAGGGCCGACTCACTTGTTTGAACTTGCGTTTGGGAGATGAAACCTTTTGCATGTGTCCCACATCACTCTTTTAGCGCACCTGTTACCTACAAAGAGCGCAAGATGATCCCACCGGGGGACTGCATGTACGCCGGTCGGAAAAGGAGGAAGCCCATTCAGAAGCAGTTAAGTATTTTTCTAGTTCTTTTTAAGTATAAATCTGGGTCTGGTTGAGCATTCCTGGAAATGCTGCCTGATAAAGTCGCTGCCTCATGACTGAAGTTCAGAGAAACGTCTTAAAGTAACAGTCTTGTCTGAGCTAAGTTTTGATAAGCTGCCGTGAGTCCCCAGCTTAGTCTCTTATACACAGACCGTTTACACACACAGTGTTCAGCTCTGTGTTAACAGTTACACTGTCTAATTTATAGAAAAGTGGTAAATTGGTGATACGAGAATGAGAAATATCGGATATTATATGGTGAGAGGACAGACTGTGCATACTATGCCTGAGCAACAGTTACCTTAGCAATTAGTTTCTCTGAAAACGAACAGATGTGGCTTTTATGGAGACTGATGTCTGTTTCTTTGCATCAAATTATAAAACCTAATGACTTGCAATAACAACAACAGCAACAATAATAATAATAATAACAACAACAATAATAACAACAACAAAACCAATATTATTATTATTATTATTAACAATAACAATCATTATTATTATTATTATACATTCTTATTAGGTGATAATAAAGTGGCTCAGGGCTGCAAGTGAGAGTCTGCAGAGAAAGAACAGTTTACGCTGACTGACTTTTCAGTAGCAAATGACTAAAGCAATTTCTACTTAAAAAAAAATCAGTATATGTTTTACATTTATGTGCATTAAGGACAATTTTTAGTATTATTCCATTTATGTACACAATCAAAAAGTATTTTGGTCAAGACATTATATAATTGTCCGCTCTGTATTATGTATTTTTGAAATTCACACTATGTTGATGTATTTGAAATGTTCTGAACTAAAGTCCATTGACCTTGCTCTATTGACCGGCGCACTTAAAAGAAGCTAGTGACTCCAAGGAAAACCATGTATCTCCATTTTTATCAATTTATATTTTTCTACCTCATTTTGTCACACCAGCTGTCCTTTACATTGTGTCTCATAGTGAATGGACCAATGGAAATGCATCTAAAATCACTTGTAATAAAACATCATTCCACTGACTTTTTTTGCCTTCTCCTGCAAAGTTACTAATTTGGAGAGACTTGTTTTTTTTTTGGTTTTTTTTTTGGACAGTGTAATTGTAAAGTATGCTAATAAAATCTGTGGAAGTTTTTCATTGATACAGTTGCCTTTAAAGGATTACATGGACTAGCTTTTTTGAGCCAGCTGGCGGTGGGGTCCACAAATTGAAGTTATATGTTGGGTTTATTTAAAGCTGTGGTTTCCTACAGTTGGGCTTTGCTGACAGAAATCAGACTCCTAAACCACAACATAGACTAAAACCCAGCCAGCTATAGTCTGATGGCATCCTGCTGCACATGAGATTTGAGACAGAAACTCCAAATGAAACACCTGCTGTCAGGCTAGCTGAAGTTTTTGGGGGGGTAATTATTAAGAGTAATTATTATTACTCTTTATTTTTTATCACTGGTATATTGTACTGATCCTAGATTTGAACTTCATTCACCAAAAATGACAAAAGTAAATGTACTAGGTAAAAAACAGCTATGTTTAGACTGTACTGCACACAGAGTTGCCAGTTTATTACCTACCTGGTACCCACAGCTACATAGGTGCACTTTGTAGGTGTACCATTACTCATTATAGTTGTTTGCTCAGTTGCTGCACAATGTATCACACTCCCTCAGCCAGTGGAAATGGACCACTGCTGTCCAGATGTTATTTAGGTGGTGGATCATTCTCAGTGCACCAGTGACACTAACATAAAAGTGGCATTATAATACACTAGCAAGGTGTGGAGTGCTGTTACACGTATACAGTTAAAGACCACAGTACCAGTGTTGGCTGAATATTTTTGCTTTGGTGGACTGTTTTTAACCCAGCAGAGACACTGAGATGTTTGAAACCGCACTAATATGCCTTTCCCATGTTGATATTCCTGCTGTGTTGACAATGATCTATCACCCACATTATATCTTGTAAGTGGTGGTCCTATAGTGGTCCCTTTCAACAGATGAGTGACTGACAAATTGTGCATAACAAAAGATTGGCTATATGGCAGCTGATAAGCCTGATAAAATGGCCAATGAGTGTAGGTACAAGGTAGGTGTTTCCTTTAAAATAGTCAACAGTGTATTTTCTTTTGTCCAGCAGAAAACCAGCCCCTGTGACAGAGAAATCCAACCCGTCCAAACGCCACAGAGATCGTTTGAATGCGGAACTGGACAGACTGGCTAGCCTACTGCCTTTCTCTCCTGAAATTATCACCAAACTGGACAAGCTGTCTGTGCTCCGTCTCAGCGTTAGTTACCTTCGCGTCAAAAGCTTCTTCCATGGTAAGGCACCTGCTTTCAATGCGCTTTGTTCCTTTATACACAGCAAAAACTTGATTAGTTGGATTTATGCAAATGAGACAATGGAAAATAATCACTGTGACTCATCTGAGATGCCATAAGTTTAATTCTTGTATGTTGATTTTAGGGAAGCCCAAATTTTCCGTAAAGCTTTTGCATAAACACTACTTCTGTGAGTCTTGCAGTGCATATGCAGAACAGTGTCCCTAAGATTGAGAGATTTTTCTGGATAAAGTGTTTGCTTTTGTCGGTCCAGTAATCGGAAAATATTTTACTGTATTCAAGTATGAGAATTTTCCAGTGGTGTTTGAGTGATTTGGAATTCTCGGTGGATTTGACCAGCCATTCGGCAGTCTGGCCTTAAACTCATACCTTCCTAATGCAGAGAGAAATGCAGTCAACACAGAGAAAGTCTTGTGTATGTGAAAGAGATAACTCGGCAACGGGTGTCAGATAACACTGTACTCAAAGCCATTGGTGGATAGTAACACATTAGCTTATTTATACAAGTATATGTATTTTAACGATATTTCCATTTTGGAAGACTTCTTACTTTCAGTCCACTTCTTTCTGCAGCATATGTTAATACTCTGAAGTGGGAAAAACACTGGACTATCTAACAACTCGAAGAATATGATGCCCTTTCAGTTGAAGCAAAACATAAACCCTTTGTTTGGCCAATTTATTTGACCTGTTGCACCCATATTGAAGCTAGTAAGCTACTTATAAACATGTAACTATGATATTAAGTGTTATTAAACAGGTTTTTTTTTTCATGTGTTCAGTCTCCTTAATAGAAACTGTTTATTAAAATGGTATAATAATTAGAACAACTCACAGTACCTTTATTTTTGACACATTTGATAAAAGTACATCTAAAAGCAAGTAACTTAGGTAGAAATATAGCAGGACTTCAGTACTTCAATATTTTATCACGCATTTCGCTTAAGCACAGGATTTGTATACTTTGTTAGTCACTGCTTAAAACCAACCTATAACTATGACAATGATTTTATATAACTGCCAGCTTACTACTGGATCAATTAATTAGAAGCATGAGGCCGCTTTGCACATTTTTTGGCTTTATCACTGAATCAACAGTGACAGTGAGAAAAGATAATCGCGATACTCAGAGCTCACGCCTGAGGAGCTTCCCCATGTTTGCTACTTCCACAAAAGATAAAATGTATAGTGACAGGCTCGCAAGTTATCCATTGTGTTCATGTGTCATAAAAAGTTTCAAACTCATTCACAAACATATTCACACACACGCTCAAACCCCCCTGTGGTCCTTTCAGATTTATTATTAATCGAGCACTTCACTGAGAAATCTGATAACATTTTGCAGCATAGCATCTCCATCACATTCAGTGTCATAACATAGTAAGTGACTTAGATCTAAACAAGAACTGGCTTTCACACACTTTGGTTCTTAAGTGCATTTTCTATTGAAGTACAGAAGCTATGGGGTTCACTTTCTCCAAGCATCATCCGTCGAGGTAATGTCCTAGAGTGCATGCCTTCAGGCTCTTTAAAAGTTGCGGCAGGCGTCTGCGGGGATGTCGTGTGAATACCAGTGTCATAATCTCCCTGTTCAGAAACACCGTTTGAACGTCTGCACTTATATAGATTTACTTCTGAGAGATTACTTTTAATAGTCTTTGTGTTTGTCTAATATTAATGTGAAAGTTGAACTTTCTAACAAACCGTTGATAGTCATGGCCGACAGCTTTATATTATATTAAACCCTAGGAAAATATTGTCGCTGTCCAAAAAATAGGTCTCCATTTTCTTCAATTTCTCTTTTTGTAATTTTTAAACTCAGCAGCTGCTGTTTATATTGTGTGAACATTTCATGATGAATGGACCAATAAAAATGTTTTAAAAATTCTTTACATTAACTTCTTTTCTAGTAAATTTACCATTTTGGCAATACATCTGTTTTTTCGGACAGCAACAATATATGCTTACTGCCCAGACAAATGAACAGACCCAAATGGACAGCTTCTTTAAATGTAGCTGTCTCAGGTGTCTAAAACTTTTGCACAGTACTATATATATTGAGACAGTGTTGTTTAGCTTACACTTTACTGAGATGAGATTGCAGTGCAACAGGACTAATACTCAGCTAAAACAAAAAAACAGTAGTTTGTAAGATTCTAATTTTTCCCTATATTTTGCTTATAACCAGACCAGCTATGTGCAAACTTACAGTGGACCAACAATGTAACAGTGTATTTGACTCAATTAATTTGAGATATAATGTTTCATTTTCACTGAAAAGTAAGAAAAAGGGCATTTCAAAGGATTTAACATGAAAACTATTTAAAAAAAACTTGATGAAGGTGTCTTTTCTTGGTGTGAAGAGTAGATTTAGCCTTTAAAAATGACTTCTTCTTAACAGCACAGATTGAAAATCTTTTGGCCCAAAGGTGGTGTAAATGAAGGGTTTGGGTGCCGAGATCATAACAAGGGGATACAATACATGAGGTCTGGCATTATGTGCAAGGTAGCATTTTCTGTTTGTTGTTCCTTCAGCATTGCAGTTTTTGCAAAGAAGAATAGCAAGAACTAAACATTTTTTGTTTAATATGTGATTGTAGACCAAGAAAGAAAGCATTCTTTTTTATTTCAAACATTTTGAAAAGCTGTCTACAAATGTTTGGCGAATAGTGTATTTGTGTAAAGATGTCAGTACTAAATGTTTTGCCAGGCAGCGCTTTTTCACAGTGTTTAAAAAGTACTATGAAGTCTAAAGCTTTAGGAAATATGACGTTTTTTTCCCTTACCACTAGAGGCTCTGTTTGTGAATGAGAGGAACACACACACACACACAGAGAGAGAGAGAGAGAGAGCGAGAGAGAGAGAATGTTGTTATTTTTACTCAGGGCTTTTCAATTATATACAGCCCCATTTCCAAAAAAGTCTGGACGCTGTGAAAAATGTACATAAAAACAAACTGCAATGATGTGCGAATCATTTAAACCCTGTAGTTCTTTAAAAATGCTTCAAAGACAACATATCAAATATTGAAACTGAGAAATTTTATTATTTTTTTAATATATGCCCATTTAGAATATGATGCCAAGAAATCATTCCAAAAAAGTTGGATCAGGGGCAACAAAAGGCTGGTAAAGTTGTGTAATGCTAAAAAAAAATACCTGGTAAAGACGATGAGGGGTTCACCACTCTGTGAAAGACTGCACGATCAAATAATGCAACAATTAAGGAATAATATTTCTCAATGTAAAACAGCAAAGAACTTTTGCTTTTCATCATCTACAGTATATAATATCATTAGAAGATTCAGAGAATCTGGACGAAACTCTGTATGCAAGGGGACAAGGCCAAAAACCAGTATTTACTGGCCGTGATCTTTGGACCTTCAGATGCCACTGCATTAAAAACTGACATAATTCTGTAGTGGAAATCACTGCATGGGCTCAGAAACACTTTGAAAAACACTGTCTATGAAAACAGTTTGGTACTGCATCCACAAATGCTAATTAAAACTCTTAAATGCAGAGAAGAAATCATAAATAAACAGGATCCTGAAACACTGCCACCTTCTCTGGGCCCAAGCTCATTTAAAATGTCTTTTAGAAGAGGTGATGAAACACAGTGGTAAACATGCCCCCATCCCAACCTTTTTGGAACGTGTTGCTGGCATCAAATTCAAAATGGGCATATATTTTTCAAAAAACAATAAAATGTCTCTGTTTCTCTGTTCTCTGTTTGTTGTCTTTGTACTATTTTCAATGAAATATAGGGTTTAAATGATTTACACATCATTGAATTTTGTTTTTAGTTGCATTTTGCACAGCATCCCAACTTTTTCGGAAATGAGCTTGTACTTTATTTGTAAAGTAGTCCTGGGCGCCAATTCTGTCTCAACACCAGATGTGAAATGTTACCTGCTGACTGAAAGGAGGAGGAAAATAAAATTGATTTTGAATCCATGCTTGAAAGCCATCTCTTCTTCTGCATAGGAAGTGGTAAAAAGATGAAAAGCATTAGTAAACAGAACATATATGGGTTAGAGTGTAAAAGCCACTGAGCGTTGATCTCGGTTGATCTTCTCCTAATTAAATATGATTACAGTTAATAAATAGATTTATTTGTTTGTTTGCGTATTTGTTTGTTTGTTTGCCTAATCCTAAACCAGTGTAATGCACCTGTTTGGTTAGACTGGCTCTTGTACACACTTCTTCATTAAATGTCAAAACTTGTCTGCCATTGCTTTGTCTAACAGGGGAATTCCAAAGATTTTTCAAAATTTCTGCAAAGTTTAAACATTGAGATGTAAACAGAGTTATTCAGAGAAACTTACTGAGTCAGAATTGTTCACAGTGGTGGTGACAGGAACCAGATGTCAGGAGAGTCTTGCCATGAAAAACAGAGTGTACAATAGAAAAAAATAAGATAAGAATATGTATATAGGGTGTTTGGGTGTTGTGCAGTAGTCCAGCTACATGTGTGTGTAATTGTGTATGTATAAATAGTCCTAGTTGTCCTGGTTGAGGGCCCGAACAGCCTGCGGGAAAAAGCACCTCCCCTTTCTTTCTGTCTTGGCCTTCAAGGAGCGGAAGCGTTTCCCTGACCAAGAAAGAGAGAAGAGTCCATTGTTGGGATGGCTGAGGTCTTTCACTATCTTTCTGGCTTTGGTCCCGCACTGCTTGCTGTAGATAGACTACAGGTCAGGGAGCTCCATTTGGATGATGTGCCCAGCTGATTGCACCACCCTTTCGAGGGCCTGTGTGTACTGCCTGGTGCTGTTCCCAAACCAGGCTGTGATGTTTCCCGTCAGGATGCTCTTGATGTTGCAGGTGTACAAGCTCTTTAACACCGTGGAGGGCAGTTTAAGCATGTAAGGTGGGTGGTAAAGATGCTGGTATTGATGTGGCAGGCCCATGACAGGTCCTGTATGATGTGGACACCAACCTTTGACCCTGACAGTGTGTTAGCTTCTCTGTTGCTTCTTG